TTATTGTTCGCGTAATGTTTAGTAATGCGGTACAGGTTTCTTTTAATCACAAAATGTATTTACCGTTTGAAATTGATTATGTTCAACCTGTCGCCAGATCCATTATATCGTAGAGCTATTATCTCGGTCGTGAGGAGCAACGTCTATGCTGTTACATCATGCCAGGTATAGTGGCCACCCGATGGGCAAAGCAAGATGACACAACGTGAACCAATACGAGCTATTGCCACCATGAGAACACTCGTAACCGTGATAGTAATGCTAATGAGCCGAGCGCATCAGTACACTAAATATTATACGTATATTGCCATGTGCCTAATGAAATATATCATAACTGATAAATAGTACCGTTATCGTCTACTAGGCTTACTCGTCAAGTCTGTAGAATGTTCCATCTATTTGTATAACATATACATCACATTTTATTATTAAAAAAATAGTTACACTTCTAGCCAGATCAAAAACTACATCGAAAAAGCCAATATCTTACAACAGACGGCTTTTTCGGTGAGATAGACTTTTGCCAAAGGTGATACCTCGTAGAAGAGAAACCGCTTGTTCCTTGCCATTGTCAAGGGCCGGCTGGGAAAAGCCGAAGGCAAATAGGGACAGACGCCCCTCATAGCGAGCGCTTTGCGTACACTCAAGCACGATCTGTGAAGCTATTGACAGTTAGTTGAAGCCCATTAGTTCCTACACCTATTGTATGTGTATTCGTTTTCATTTAGGGAGTCGTACAAAGAATATATCTGTCTAACTGCTAAAAGTAGTATCGTTGTCGAACGATTTCGACCGTTAACTAACAAAGGTACCGTAGCGAGCGCGTGGAAAAAGCAGCAAGATGATTGAAGGGTCACGACCATAGTGATCATGTAAATAAAACGATGTTAATGCTGACAGATATGTTATTGACGTAGCTGCAATGCCCTCCCCAACCTGCGGAGAGCCCGTATACACAAGTGTCGAACAACATTTCTGTTCGGTATCGGACGCGAAACGTTTGAAAATCTAACGCGAAGGCTTCGAGTGAACTGGGATGTGCGCGACGTAATCGGAACGAACCTGGAAGATTACGCCGGTTCCACACGGGAAACATCTTTTAATGACGCAAAATGCAAGTGCTACATAAAAGAAATTTATATAAATAAGCTTCTTGTGCGGGGAAAAAAAACTAAGTATCTCAGAGCAGAACAACGCGGTAATATCCTGAACATTTTCTTAACATTATGATAATCAGCTATAACTGTAGAAAAAATATCCAATTGTAGTGACAAAACAGTAACTTCCCACCTTGACTCCTGTTAGCTACTTTCAGCCGTCTCAAGACTGCGGGACCTCTCTCCAGATAGTACTGAAGTAAGCAGGCAACTGCATATTCCATTTCTATCAAAAGGATATCAATAGTTAGTTGTATTGAAATCAGGGGGAAGGTACAGCCGACTTCTATTCATAAATAGGTTTATTGTTCGATATCAAGACGTAAGTACTCATCTAAGTGTTTTTGTTAGATTGTGGTGTTGCCCTCATTCCAATCTTTATGTGTGTATATATATATATTTCGCGTTTGCATTTCAATATTACTTTCATGTATATTATCGGTCTGCAACACTGTGCGGACCATATAATACTGCATTATATAATACGAGCAATTACTTTAAGCAGGGGCAAATACAAACAGTGCCGGTCCTTGGAACAGCTACGTTTGTTTGTCTCTTAGTTTTTAGTGTAATAACAATATATTTGTCGCTGTGGTCATTGGCTTTGCCCTCTCAGTAAAATAATTGCCACATTGACGATTGCCTAGTGACTGATATGCCATGCGTTTGTCTTGTTGATGCGGTAGATAGTATCATGGACGATCGAGATAATTCGCCTGATTCCGATTTGGTGACGGCGGAGTGTCCACGTCTGCTCCACTGATGGCCGACGACAGCCAAACGGACGGACGGACGGACGGATGTCACGGACACGTATCTTGTTATTATTTTTTGTTCGTTGTTCAGTGACAGGCCAAGTATGCACCGACGGCTGCGAGTCAGTGAACCGCGATCGGCTGTCACAGTTTCGACGGGGAGCTGGGTCCACGATTTCATTCAGCCATTATCGGCAGCTCGCAAAATGGCCGCTGAAAACGAAAACGCGGAGGAAAACCTTGTTTTGATGGCCGATGGCCCTACAACAGCAGCAGCAGCAGTAGCAGTAGCAGTAGCAGCAGCAGCAGCAGCAGGGAGAAAAACGAGGAACAATCGCAGTGATTACGGTGGTATCAGCCCGCTGTAGATGTTGTTGTTGGTTATCATTATGGTGCGCGTCTATACGTACGCCCCAAAACGTCGCCTGCTGTCGTTGCGTCTGCCGCCTCTGAAATCTCTTTGTTGTTACATAAGCGCAAAAATGCAATGAATTCTTTTCGTTTTCGTTATGATTCTTGGTGATTTCCGGCACCGATGACGATCTTTGTCTTGTTCTTCAAGCATGGCAACGGTCCTATCATCGTCTATTGCTCATCGCCTCCGCTTTACATCCTCTCCTACGCAGCTTAGTCAGTGGCCGTCGCTGTCGGCGCCACAACTGCTGGTACTCATCTTAGTTTGTGTCGTGTCTTTTCCGTTCGGCTGTATTCATGCACGCTGGACCGTGGCTGTAACAATGTCTAAATTACAATGTATTTACAGCAGCTACGGAGATAACAGCAACGCGGTTGTTCCTGCCATTGATGACGCTCATGATGTCGGCGGCAACTGTGATTCCTGCTTAACTTCAACTACGAACTTCACGTAGTTGCTGAAATAAGTTTCCTTTCGCTGCGGGATAAAACAGGCTACAAAAAAGTTCTTGTCGATGTAACGAATCGCTTTGCCCACCAGTGACATCTTACTATTGTTATTGTTATTGTCAACTGAATAGCTCGTCAGAACTTGAAGCATGAATTTATTTACTCTCACAAATTCTATTTCAAGCCAGCTAGGGACTGTCATCTATTTAGGGAACTATGCCTATTGACGTCTACTTTTGCGTGAATGGTAATACACAGCCTGCAGGGGCAAAATTTTAATGTGATCAAAAATTGAGCGAGATTTAATGATGTCTTCCGTTATTATTTTTATTGTTATGTCTTACTACAAATTATGACATCATTATTTGATATTGTGCTTCTTTCGGTTCGCTTTAAATACAGCTTGGTAATATTTGGCAAACCAAAATCCCGATAGCAGCTCCTTTCATGTAAACCAGCTCGGTAAAGCCTATTTGATCTATTACATTATTCTAAAAAGTCGTATATTTAGACGATATGCCGAAATTTAGCTACCAGATCCACAGATATGTAATACCTGACATATATATGTGACAAGTTAAAATTTCCGCTTCAAATACAACAAGACGTGGTTGAATAAAGATCACGCTTTCGACTACGCCGTGGTGCCGGTATTTCATCTTAAAGCCAGGCAAACTCTGCGCTAAAGTTAACCTATACTGGTTACGTCTTTTTTGCTCGTACATTAAGTCAATTCTTACATCATTCCTCGCGGCTAAGATCACAAATGGATTTTTCCCTCTTTGTTATGATACATACGTAATCTTCGCATTTATCGTAAATCAACGCGACGTGAACCTCTTATCTCATTGTTTCTTTGCCGGCCAACGCGACCATTGCGTCTGTGGCGCCGGTGCTATTCTCCCATACGCGGAAGTACTCAGACTAAACTGGCTGACTTATGTTCCAGATTCCATTACGGCATCTACATCCCTGCTTTTTATATACTGCTTACATAAATTCGTTTTTTTCCTTTTAACTCCGATTTTGTTATTAATAAGACGGGTGAAAACCACAAAGCGACCGGTAAATGCAAGGTTGACTTCACTGAAAGCATCTTCATTATGCCACGACATATATCTATAGGTACCTGCGAGAAAACAATCGCTACCGTCCACGCATAGCTACTGCGACTACTATTTAAAAACCATTGTCTATGCAATCTGAGTGGCTTTTAAGCTATTGTTTGTATACCGTTTTTTTTCAAGAGAGTACCTTAGAAAATTCAGTTTTAGTACCTACAGAAAAACAACTATTTTCAAGTGTTTTACGTAATGTACATCGAATTAAGTCAGCGTTCGAACAGGTTACGCATTGCACGCTTTTTTAACATGCTTCCCCACTTCTGATCGACTGATCAAAGCTATTTTCCGCTACTATTCGTTCCGTATTGGGATCAATAGCAACTACTCAAACACCGCTAGCACTACCTAGCTGTTTCCAAGGTACAACTTTGGTATCCTGTACATCTACATATTACCCTTACTAATATCTGTAAAAAGTAGATCAGGTACACGTCAGTGCAGGTATCGACAAAGATAATGGCGGCTTACTAGTTCTAGAGAGAACCAATAAGTTTGATTTTGAAACCATCAGTTGAAAAGATGCTGTTTTACCCTTCAGACGTGAAAGTTTTCATTGGACTTCAGTGGCAGCGCCTCAACGTACGAACTAGAACTATCCAGGATTTAGGGGCTGCAACGACAATTGTTTTGAAACGCACAGAATATGTGGCAGTTTTTCGTCCAATGCGTTGCTTCAATTAGATCTTACGCTGATTTGTTCCAAGTATAAGACATATGTTGAGCCACTTATGACAAATGCAGCAACCCGACGTTATCTAAAAACCTAACAAATTACGCAAAACGCACTGGCTTCAAACTTTAGTGAAAGAAAAAGGGTCTAAAATCTCTACCAGTCAGAACTACACCAACGTTCGAAGGTTTCAACAAGTGTTTTTCAGGGGCAAAACAGTGATGTTTAACACAGGCGAGGTCAATAGCAGATCTCATAAACTATATTTGACTAAAAGTTAGCGTCAAAAGATGCTGTAGCTATTCCTATGATGGGTCTTCCGTACGTTATGCGAGCAATCACAAAACCATAGATGAACACTAACAACATGCCTGTTTTATGAGATTAAGACTGTGCTAGAATCTTTACCCGCATTTAAAGCTATACCGCTAAAGACAAGTTATGTCAGAAAAAAAACGACGCTTGATTAGTTACAACACTATATACCGGTAATGTATGCTATTTTAGAAGGTACCATTGAAGACGATTGGACCAAAATCATTCCCACCTCGGGGAAAATGTTTGCTTCCTAAACGGGGATTACGTTACAGTTTTTAAAAGCCACCGAGGCTCGATGAAGATAAGTGACTAAGAAATATTCAACGGCAAAATGGTGACAATATGATGAAACTTGATGTAGAATTTTAAGGAAGACTGAAAAAAGTTACACTATCCGTCGTTAACGACTTCATATTTTAAGATAGTCCCCGGGTGTCACGCAGTAAGCAAGCTGTCTCGTTTGAGTTTATGGCAGATTTTACATCTTGTAACTGTGAATTTTATCTCATCAAATAGTTCTACGATATAATAAAATCGAAATTCACACACAGCCATAAATAACCAGCTACAATGTACAACGCGGCAATGAATGGGCGTCATTTTGTGCTTTGTCATGATTTGTCGTTAGCAAGCATGACGTTGTGAGATATCATATGGGCAAATCTAAGGGCAAAGCGCGAAATGAACTCGCGTTGCGCCGTTCTCATTCATCTTTCAAATAGTCTATCACGATTAGGCTTGATAACCCTTATTTTTCTACGCTGAACGATTTTGAAGATATCGCTCCTTTCACAGACGCGCTGTTTGTTCCTTCTTTAGTCGAACATTTTGATGACGGAGTGCGAGTGCGAGGACAGTACCGCGATGGATACGTCTGCTTCTCACTCGTTAGGGTAAGGGATTCTCTCCTGTTTCTTACAGAACGCTTGTCCGTTGACGTTGCCACATCACGATGGCAGCAACTTTGTCTACACGGCTACCACGAGCGCTCTGTCGCTTTAATATGCCATGTCAACAGTCAAGACTTTCGTCACGCTTTGCACTCGATGGTAAGTAAAACTGAAGGCTCTTTTCGGACGTCAATAGTAGTAATTCATCGGATATTTATTGAGCTCATATAACTTCTAGTATCAGTGCAAAATCGGTAGTTGTTGTTTCCAGTAGCGATCATTCGATCATCATAATTCGAAGCAGATTATGCCAAAACGTGTTCCTGAGTAGCGTAGAACAATTTCAATGTTTTCCACTAGTGTGCAGTAAATTTTCAAAACGGCCTCATGAACAAGTGAAAATAATAATAAGTCAAACTTTTCGTAATGCGATGGGCTAAGCTGTGTGAAGTTATGAGAGACCCTATTTTACAGAAAGTTCTCGACTACGAAATTCATAACATTCAGTACTATATGGATACACAAAGAATACATGCAAGCGAATAAGGTAGCATAATCTAAAACGCTGCCTTTCCATAATAGACGCCGTTGGTTTGGACGAACAGCAAATTCAAATGCAACAAATTGCTAAGGACTTCGCTCTAAAGGAATGGCAACCTAATATGCGTCGGTGGGATCAAGAAGTGAGTTTTACCATATACGTGTTATGATTGCATTTGTTCTTAGAAAAGAAACTA